AGACCCTAGTGGCCCATTTCTAGAACAGAAGCACATATAGTGCCCATCGTAAGCACTTCATATCATACATGCACTATTATATGCTACGGTCTTTACAAATCGAATATCACAACAATTTCACTACCAAAGAGGTAGCATAGATATATAAATATGAATAAGGCATACAAGTGCCAAGATCCAAATTTATTACACGAAGAGACCACGTGGTCCAACATTTATCATCAGAACTGAAGTCTCAAATGGACTGAGTATACAAGATCAAATGATGCCTAAGAGGCGGAAACATAAAGCAAACGGTCCCATCCCATCTGTTAAACGCTGCCAGCCGGAATCCGCTAATCTACTCGTCATCGCTCGAGAAACTCCATGTTGTGACATCTCAACAGCCCAGTTGAAGTAGTAATGTGTACCTGTTGTTGTTATTGTGGCAAGGTTGAGTACTTTTGATACTCAGAAAGTGTCATTACCATCTCTGTGTCTATTCAATTCAAGATGAGAGAAACACGCGTGAGGGATCGTAAGCTAGTCATCGGGTATTTAACCAAAAACTACCACATTTCATGAAAACGTCCTAGAAACTACCACTTTACAAATTTGTGCCAAAAACTACCATTTTTTTACTAATCCGTGACAAAAAAACTACCACTTTTGGAAAATGACCAGTTTAGAAGATTTAAACACGTTTATGACAAGTGGGGCCCACCCGTCAAGGCTGACGTGGCAGGAAAGTCAACACCGTTTATTTTGACTGTTAAGTTGACCGATATGACAGGTAGGCCCCACACGTCAGTATCTATCTTCTTCTTCTTCCTCCTCCTCCTATATTCTCTTGCCCATTTCAACGAACACCTTATCTTCGTGCCCCACGGCGAGCCCTGGTGTCGTCCATGTCGCCCTCTAAGGGAGTCCCGGACTAGGGGGTGTTCGGATAGCCGAACTATCATCCTCGGCCGGACTCCTGGACTATGAAGATATAAGATTGAAGACTCCGTCCCGTGTCCGGATGGGACTTTCCTTGGCGTGGAAGGCAAGCTTGGCGATACGGATATGTAGATCCCCTACCATTGTAACCGACTCTGTTAAACCCTAACCCTCTTCGGTGCCTATATAAACTGGAGGGTTTTAGTCCGTAGGACGAACAACAATCATACCATAGGCTAGCTTCTAGGGTTTAGCCTCTCTGATCTCGTGGTAGATCTACTCTTGTACTACCCATATCATCAATATCAATCAAGCAGGAGTAGGGTTTTACCTCCATCGAGAGGGCCCGAACCTGGGTAAAAACATCGTGTCCCTTGTCTCCTGTTACCATCCACCTAGACGCACAGTTCGGGACCCCCTACCCGAGATTCCCTGGCTCCTCTCCTTGCGGCACCCCCGGGACCTCCTCCTCCTGGCTGGGCCCCTTTTGGGACCCCACCTCGGCGTCGTCAGCGCGAGGAGAGGAGGCGGCCGGAAGTGAAGTGCTATTCACGTCCGATGGAGCCAGCGAGCCGCTCGTGGAAGTGTCGAGCCCGTCCTTGGGCAGGCTGCAGGATTGTATTCGGCGTTAGGAGATTCCATGCGACAAACGAAACACCATGAGTTATTCTTGTATCCGGACACTTACGACGTCGCCAGGGGCTTAGCCCTCGGTGGCCACTCCTCTTCGCCGTCGTCGACGTTGGTGGAGTAGTCCGGATGAAGGGTCCTCCCCTTCTTGGACCCTCCGGCCTCCCCAGTTAGGGTGCCTTCCTTTTCTTCTCTCCCCCGCTGGGGGAGAGGTCTCTTTTTTCTCCTCCTCGTCTTCGCGGGAGGAGTCCGCCTCGGAGTCATCGGACGATGAGTCCGATAACACCTGACGCCGGGAACTCTTTCGGGTTCCTGTGGCCTTCTTCTTGGCCTTCTTCTCCGGCACCATGTAAGGTGCCGGAACCAACAGCCCCGTCAATCGGGCGTCCGCTGGGTATTCTGGCAAGGGAGCCGGACAGTTAACCTGCCCGGACTTCTTTTGCCAGGCCTGTCAAAGGTAAGGGAGTTTAGATCCCGCATAGAGTCAAACTATGGAAAATAAGTGTCCTGTAAAGGGTAAAATAGCTTACCTCGCCAGCTTGACGCTGCGAGCTGAATCCGCGATCTTCGGTAGCGGATGCGGGAGCCTCGGCGCCCTTGAACAGCACCTTCCAGGCATCTTCGTACGTAGTGTCGAAGAGCCTGCTCAAGGTTTGGTGTTGTGCCGGATCAAACTCCCACAAGCTGGAGGCCCGTTGTTGGCACGGGAGGATCCGGCGGATGAGCATGACCTGGACTACGTTGACGAGCTTGATCTTCTTGTTCACAAGGTTTTGGACGCAGGTTTGGAGTCCGGTCAGCTCTTCCGAATTACCCCATGCCAGGCCCTTCTCTTTCCAGGAGGTGAGTCATGTGGGGATGCCCGATCGGAACTCGGGGGCCGCTGCCCATTCAGGGTCACGCGACTCGGTGATGTAGAACCACCCCGATTGCCACCCTTTGATGGTTTCCACGAAGGAGCCCTCGAGCCATGTAACGTTGAGCATCTTACCCACCATGGCGCCTCCACACTCCGCCTGCTGCCCCCCCTACTACCTTCGGCTTGACATTGAAGGTCTTCAGCCATAAGCCGAAGTGGGGCTTGATGCAAAGGAAGGCCTCGCACACGACGATGAACGCCGACATGTTGAGGACGAAATTCGGGGCCAGATCATGGAAATCCAGGCCGTAGTAGAACATGAGCCCCCGGACAAATGGGTGAAGTGGAAAACCTAGTCCGCGGAGGAAGTGGGTGAGAAATACCACCCTCTCATGGGGCCCGGGGGTGGGGATGAGCTGCCCCTTGTCGGGGAGCCGATGCGCGATGTCGCTGGACAAGTATCCGGCCTTTCGCAGCCTCTTGATGTGCCCCTCCGTGACGGAGGAGGCCATCCACTTGCTTCCCGCTCCGGACATGGCTGGGGAAGGTTGAGGCAAGATGTGCGGACTTGGGCGCTGGAGCTCGAGTGCGCGGAAATGGATAAGCAAAGGAGGAAGAAGGCGTAGGTAAAAAGGTGGATCCTTATCCCCTTATATGGACGAACGAAACTATGCGTCCTCACCAGCCTGGTAAAACTCGCTTATCTCCCAAGCGTCGCAATCAATGGCGCGGTTGGGTTACCCACGCCCGTATTGATGAGAATCCCGGAATAAGGGGACACGATCTCTGCTTTGACAAGACGTGCCAAGGAAACCGCCTTGCTAAACACGCTGAGGTGGGACAGTAAAAACGATTCGAATAAAGGCTTGGCCATGGTGTGATGTCATGCCACGAAATACGTCAGCAGATTGAATTTATGTGAATATTATTCTCTCTACGGTGGTATGTGGAACTTATTTTGCAGAGTCGGACACTATCCTTGTGTTCAAAATCTTCTATGAAGTATTCGGAGGAGGAACCCGCCTTGCAATGCCGAAGACAATATGCGCGCCGGACTCGTCGTTATTGAAGCCTGGTTCAGGGGCTACTGAGGAAGTCCCGGACTAGGGGGTGTCCGAATAGCCGAACTATCTTCCTCGGCTGGACTCCTGGACTATGAAGATACAAGATTGAAGACTCCGTCCCGTGTCCGGATGGGACTTTCCTTGGCGTGGAAGGCAAGCTTGGCGATACGGATATGTAGATCCCCTACCATTGTAACCGACTCTGTGTAACCCTAACCCTCTTCGGTGCCTATATAAACCGAAGGGTTTTAGTCCGTAGGACGAACAACAATCATACCATAGGCTAGCTTCTAGGGTTTAGCCTCTCTGATCTCATGATAGATCTACTCTTGTACTACCCATATCATCAATATCAATCAAGCAGGAGTAGGATTTTACCTCCATCGAGAGGGCCCGAACCTAGGTAAAAACATCGTGTCCCTTGTCTCCTGTTACCATCTGCCTAGACGCACAGTTCGGGACCCCCTACCCGAGATCCGCCGGTTTTGACACCGACACCCACCTAGAGGCTGCCAGGTCGAGGATGACGGAGGCAGCGCCGGAGCAGGCGTGAGACGACGGTCGCGAGGGTGCTCGCGCAGCCTCGAGCAGCGCGCAGGCCGCGAGCACGTGCTGGTTGCACTGGCCGGCCGTCGTCGCGTGCGGGAGCACGGGAGGGCGAGCTAGCCGTTGTTGCGGTCGCATGCGGGCCGGCATCCGAGCTCGCCGCCGTAGCTGTCGCGCGTAGAAGTGTGGGCGGACCGCCGCAGCTGTCCCATGGGTGCTCGTGCAGCCGTCGAGCCACGTGCAGGCCGCGAGCACGCGTTGGTCACCGAGGCGTGCAGGCCGCGAGCACGCGTTGGTCACCGAGGCGCATGCTCGCGCTGGCCGGTCGCCAAGCCGTGCGTACATGCTCGCACTGGTTGCGTAGCCACATACGCTAGATAGGAAATGCGGCTTGCCGCACCCCGGCAGCAAGCTGCCGGGTATATCTATATACAACCACCGAAGCATTTCAAGTATAAAAAACCACAAACACAAAAAGTTCATATAGTGGTACTCCTTCATGAGAGACTTGTAAATAGATAATATAACATCAAAAAAAAAACATGCAAAACAAATGCTCAAAACCAGCATCTAATGCACTCATATAAAAGCTTAAATAAAGGACTGCATGAATAGTCCATAGTTCAGTAATCACACATACTTATGTAGTCAAAATTATGAAAACCTAATAGTAAAGGCAGGTTGCTGATATAAACCTGGAAGCATAAGAATGCAATCAGACACATGATTTTAGCAGACATAGCACGATGTTCCAGTAGTAGATCCGACATAACCGAGAGTGACATGGTTCGATAGGACATATTACATCATTAGGTTCATATATACAGACCATCAAGGCCCAGTAGATAGATTTGGAAGAACCGACAGTGTCATGGTTCGATAGGACACATACTACATAGGGCTATAGATAACTATATTAGCTGGGAGAAACGACTGGTTCTAACGATGATATTGGTGATCTGATGGTTCTTGCAGGGCCATTAGAAGTGATCTTCAGGTAGGACACGGTAGTCATCAGAGCAGTATCCTTCACTGTCAAAGATCTGTTCATCATCAAGGAAGGTCCTCATCACTGGATCGTATGGTGGATTTTCATCGCTTTGGGTTGGCAGGTCCTCATCTTCATCAGTTGATTGCTCCTGGCCATAGGGATAGACACCAGCTTCTTGAAGGTTGACCATGGCCTCATCAGTGTACTGCTGAAGGTATTCGCAACTGGCCTCTACATTGAGAAGAACGTTGTTGAGCTCCAGGTCATCTGGAGTAGATCCTGGACTCAGCCTGCTGTTAACCAGATGCTTAAGGTTGTTGACGATGTTCTGTTCTGTGTCCAGGGATCCATCCCATCCTTTGCTCAGGAGCTTGTTTTTGGTAATGCTCTCTTTTAGCTTCTGTTTCAGAGATGCATTGTTCCTTTTCATCGCCTTAAGCTGCTGACCCAGCAATACATTTGCCTTTTCCACAGTCATCAGTTGATCATAATGGTAATCTTTAGGAACCACACCCTCATAAGCATCTATGTACTTAATCACTGCGGCAGCCACGTAATCCCAAGCTATCTCTAGATCTTGGTGCTCTGAGGTAGACAGGGAAACTTTGGCAGGTGAATTTCCCAGCCTGATCTTGATTGGGTAAAAGGTAACGGTGACCCGCAGATGCGTGTCGTCTTTTGGGGATGCCGAGTAGGTTGCCGCTGGAAGGCCAACCTTTTCTAACATAGCATCAAGCAGGACCTTAGACGAAACTGGAACAGAATCCATTGCTGGGACCTGCTGCAGGTGAGAAAAAACGTCACTGCCACAAATATTTGACCTCAAGTATAGTACCATCTCCAGGTCTGTATGGATAAGAAGAAGAAAAAACGCTGGATGACAAATTAGTTCTACGGTTTGGATTTTGCCACGAAAAGAGTGATTTTAAGTAGATAAGAATACTCAAGACCAACTTTCTATAATGCATAATTTACAGAGGTCAAGGGGCGCTGAAATGAAAGGAAACCATTAGGTAGATCTATCACAGCATTGTCTTACAAGAGAGAAGGGAGCTGAAGGCAGGAAAGCAAGTTCGACACGCTAGCAGGAAGCCCGTTGTTCACCATCAATCACGACAATGAACTTCAGGGCAAAAACCTACTTCTCTACCTACTACCGTATTGCAGCCAAAGTTTGATCAAGCCAATAGAAATCTGCCATACATCAAAAGGATTACAACGTTCCAGAGCAGCTTACTACAGTAATACAGGGGCCAAATGCTTTTCTTTTTTATGGGGTATGAACTGTTGCTGATCAAAAAAGGTGCAAGCTAATGTACAAAATATACTCCTATTTTAAGGCAAGAATCATATTGGGCCACACAGCATCAAAGACAATACCCAGTAGACAAGTGAATCAAGTAATGAACAAAAAAAGCACCACCATAAATCATTGTATCTGAAATTCAAAACCATACATGATGGTAATACAGATCATGTAAAGACTAAGATCGACCAGACCAAAAAGCTACGTCAACTCAGTTAACCTAACACAGAATATTAAAGCATAGGAAATCGAAAGCATAGGCTCGAGTGCCTCTAGGCGCGTTATGCACTGGTGGCTCAAAGGCAGTCACACGCCGAAGCAAAGTGGGACGAAACAGGAATTTACCAGGCGAGGAAGATGATGCTGACGGGTGGGAGAAGGGGCGCTGGACAGCTCAGTAGGAAAATCCTGGATCTAGAATAAGCATGAGGAAAATGATATGAGAAGGGATCAAAGCGGAGCAAAAGAGAATGGTGCGGAAGAAATACCGTGGGGACTAAGCTCTTATAAAAGGATTTCAAGGTCTCCACTTTATCATCAGCCTACAAATAGAATATATAGGGTGGGGGGCAAGGGAAGGACTAAAATAAAAAGGAGTACTCGCTTGGTAATGCATACTGGAAAGACATGCTGCTGGTAAGGATCTCCTCTATGCAGATGATTCGAAGAAATCTAAAGTATATGCTGCTTGGTAATGCATACTGGAAAGACACGCTGCTGGTAAAGAAATCTAAAGTATATGCTGCTGGTAAGGATGAAAATCTCAATTAACTATTTCACTACATTAAGGTGAAGGAATGAAGCTAACAGACAGCATAACCAAACGAAAATTAATGCCTGCTTATTGGGCCTATGCGGGAGGGTCGTTGCCCTAAATCATGTGTGACATCATCCAACACAATGTTAAGCATCCCACGGTGAGTGGTTTGGCGACATGGCATATTACAGGGAGGTTTCTGTGAGGAGCGAAGTGGGACGGCCACTGCCACTGAACGCGTGGGGATGATGCCAGAGTTCGACAAAACACCAAATTTGCAATTCACATGTATCGGTTATCATCAGCCTGTGAGACAGAGGACACTGCATAGTTGAGCCTCTGATCAAAAAGCAGGCAAAATACATAACACGGGGATGAATCGTTGACGCAGGGCAACCATTAAACCTAGTGTAGTTTCTGCTCATGACAAATGGACATAACTATGTAGAAACAGAGAAGCACATGGTCACTTAATAAGCAAATTACATAAAGCAGGTACACACCATTATTTATGAGATATTCCACTTTGTAAGTTCTGCTTATGTTCTTATTTGAATGAAGTGCCAACAATTAGATGGAAGTTACAATATCATATGTCTATTTGGATCTGTTATAAAAATTAACAAATTGGCAACCTAAATACATGATGTTAATTTGTTCTGTACACAACATTGTATCTTTTCTTGACACTCTTGATTTGACATGGGAATGCAAGAAACAAAAGTGAAGCACCTTGAGCATACTCTACTCGAGGATGCAATTGGTTCTACACAAACCATAATATTTTTACTCTCCTTGAGAAAAGAATGGGGATCAACACATATAAAGTTCCATGCTAGTGAAACGAACATCAAATCATCAAACAGAGGTATAACAAAAAATAGTAGCAACCCTAAAAATGAACAAAGATGTATACCTTCTAGAATGATGCTATTTTCCATTAAACAAAAAGGGATATGTACAATGCTAAACATATGTGTTGGTCGATAATACCTCAAATGGCGCACCACCGAGATTTTCCATTACCAGCTTCTTATGGATCAATGATACGGAGCTCTCTGCTTGTGCCTGGCTTGGCAGCTTCCTCTAGACCAGCAATACAATTAATAGATTAAGAGAGTACCTTAGCAAACTCAAGATTAATTTACACTCCGTAAACTAATATAAGTTTACGGAGGGAGTAGTACCCAAACTTTAAATCCTAATTCAATGGCACACACACACCCACACACAGACACATCTGGAAATGAAAAGGAGCAGGCCAAACTTTTATGTTACAGAACCGAGGCCACCAACATACTATTCCTTCTTGAGCCGCCACATAACTATTTTTCAAATCAAGGGAAGCAAGAACCATTTCTCCAAGCAATAGATAAACTACTTTGGACACCATTTTATTTAGCCAATGAGCTGGAAATTTAAAACTACACGACCCCAGACAATATTCCAGCTTCCACTTTCTCAGACTTTTGTCACCTTAGCCCTACCAAAATTAAGGCCATGTAGGTTGTTGTAACTCATAATGATAATACCTAGGCGAGTGACATACTATGTTTTCAAGGCGTCCAGGCGCTTTAAGGCGCTGGGGGGGCGCCTCAACGCCTAGGCGCTCAAAGCGTGAGGCGAGGCGACGCCTTAGACACTTATTATTAGGCGCTAGGGGTACTAATATGGCAGCCATGAGTGGACATGTAACTGATTCATACCTTGAATTTCCTGGTTGTTGAGCCCACATAGCATCCATTCCTCCCATCTTGTTTCCCATTTCTGCCTTCCACAATAGAAATCTGCATAAAGATGAACATATATCATATATGGTTAAAACTAAACTTAATTAATAGATCACCATTGGTAAAAAAACAGAGTAGATGACAGAGCAAGTGCAAAACAAGATGACAAACATGAGTGCATTACATATTACATAAACTAAGTCCACAACACAATAATTTAGGTTCACAAGTTCACAACATAAATTTAGCTTCCAAACAGGCAAACACATGATCATAAGCAAGGCTGGCCACACTCAATTCTCAATAGCCATCATCGAACTCATCGATGGTAGTATTTGTGTTGTCTTCGCCATCTTGGTCAGCACTAGTTGGATCTTCATCATCATCGGTCACATCAACATCATCTTGAAGAAAGTCTGAATCATCATCCTCTCCATTGGGGATACTTGGTTGTTGTTCTTGGTCATCCTCTTCGTCATCTTCATGAAGAAATGTTGGTGACGGAGCAGCCCTTTTGCGCTGCCTTTGGTACTGGACATTAACATTTGAGGCCCCCCTTGCCATGGTGCTAGCTCTAGGAAAGTTGCGACCTTGCAGCGACGAACTTGCACCAACAGCCTCATCAACAAGCTCCCATGAAATGTCATCGGGACACCCTCGAGCACCTTGGGGTGGAGGTATTGTTGGGTCAACCCACTCATTGCCCCAATCAAAATCCTCAATGACTAGAGGGTCATAGCTATTGCCACCCATCTTCTCACGCCTCTTTTGAAACCTATCCAAGTTCTTCCGGTTGTATGAAACAAAAACATTGTCATTCAAGAGTCGGTGTTGTAACCGGTTCCTTTTCTTGGTATGGATCTACAAATAGCAAATAGAGTGAATAAATAACTTGCTG